CTCAGGCCCAATTACACAGCAGCTCCCCTTATCCTTTGGGACGCAGCTGCTCAGGAATGGACTATGGAGAATTCCTAAACAGAGAAGCTACCCTCTATAGCCACTCCCCTGACTCCCCCACCCCCCACCACTCCCCCTGGTGTGCTCAGTCTGAAAGACTGAGAACAGGGTCCCTGCCAAGGCCACACTGGAGGAAGCAGCAATGGGAACTAAGAGTCATCACCTGCTCTCCGCTTAGGTGTGTGTACTGGGCTGGGGAGGCAGTGCAGTTGCTACAGTGCATGTCTGATGGGCATGAAGCCCTGGTTTCCATCCCCAGCACTGAACAAACTGGCCATGGTGGTTTATGCCTGTAACCCCAGCACTTGGAGAAGTAGAGGTAGGAAGATCAGAAGTTCAAGGTCATCTTCCATTGCAAGGTGAATTCTAAACCAGTTTGGGCCACATGAGACCCTGTCAATAAATAAGTGAATGAATGAATGAACAAATGAATGAATGGCTGAAGAAATGGTTCAGTGGACTACATAAGACCCTGTCGATAAATTAGTAAGAAAATAAGTAAATGACTGAAGAAAGGGTTCAGTGACATAAGACCCTGTCATAAACAAACAAACAAACAAACAAAACCCAAACAAATAAATGGCTGAAGAAATGGCTCAGCGGTTAATGCACAGGCTGCTTTTGCGGAGGACGGGGATACAGTCCCAGCACCCTCATGATGACTTACAATAGTGTATAACTTCAGTTCCAGGAGATCCAACACCCTCTTCTGGCCTTCACAGGCAATGCATACATGTGGCAAACACTCACACACAAAAAATAAAAATAAATACATCTTTTAAAAAAGATTATATCGAGCCAGGCATGATGGCATATGCCTTCAGTCCTTCGATTACTAGCTGCAGCTCTTCTCCGTACAGTGCTGGGCCCCTCGGCACACGGCATCAACGAGTGTTCAGCTCCAGGCCTGTGCTATGGGAATTGCAGGGCCTGGGAACTCCTGCAGTGACGTGGACTTCCGTTTCTCTCAGCCTTCTATCCTCCTTCAGTCTCGGCTCCCCACCACCACCCTGCCTTCTGCTATCCCTTGTCTCCTCTCCAGAAGTCCTCAGCTTCCTTCAGAGCTGACGCCAAAGCTCCTTTCCTAATGACACCAGGGGACAGCATAGGATGGTCCCCGGACTGAGAGCTGCAGCCTTTAAAGGTGTGTGTGCGGCAAGGGTGTCTGCACCAACCACAGCCCAGCCCTTCCTGGTCATAAAGGGCTTTATTCACAACTACAGATGAGGAACCACTCTGTACCCAATCATAGCAGTCTGTCATACAAATGAGGAACCATTTTTGCACCAATCACAGGCCTTTGCTGCTCTCCCTCTGGTCTGGATGAAAATGGCTGCTAGAGCGCCCTCAGGCTTGTGGCGGTTAAAAGCTGTCACATGAGGGGCTTCAAACAGTGGCCAAAGCCTTCAGGAACCTGAGTGCTTTGGCAGTGAGCAGCTGTAGTTGGCCTGGAGATTTCATCCACAGAGAGTTCAGAGCGGTAGGTGCTGGCATAAGCCACAGTCAGGCTGGCTGTTTGGCTGACTGTCTTTGCCCAAGGCAGGCTCTTCAGAAAGACAAGGCCTGCACAGCGTGTGACTGGCAGCCTAGTGTGTTGGCTGAGATGAGGTTCAAATGTGAGGGGAGAACCCAATGTGTTTAAACAAGATAGCCATTTATCTTGTTCATTCCAACAGCCACTAGAAAGCTGAATTCCAAGGCCATGGCAGACACGCGGCAGTGTGAGGGATATCGGCCCTTCTATCTTGTCGCATGAGAGACTTCTGGTCCCCAAGTTAACCTATGGTTCAAGATGGCTACTGTTACTACGGCCATTACAAGAACATCTCCACGAGCTGGCAAGAGCCCAATTCTTCTCTTTCAGAATGCTGCTTGCCCACTCCATCCCACTGACCAAAACTGCCGTGCTCCACACCACTCAGGGGAAGCTTCAACAGGCTTCAGTTAGGGGCAGTTGTGCATCCACCACCACCCTCAAAACTCAGGATTTCTCTTACATTAGGGAAGAAAAATAGACCCTATCTGGGAGGAGAACTTAGTCCCCGCAGAAGACTGATTAAAACTAATTTAACTGTGAATTCTAGCAACTGCTCTTGCATAAATCCCTATAGACCAATTTATAAGGATTTGGAATTGTATTGTTCATTGTGGCAACATTAAATCTATCCAGAGTGCTTGCCGGTCACGAGTGAGCACCCACACACCACAGGCTCCTCAGGAGGAGTCCTCCTCCCAACTGCCTGGAAAGCCCACCAAGACCCACTGCGCTGTGAAAGCAGCGTGTTTCATGGCACAAAGGTGAAATAGTAACAGCTTCGGCAGGCAGGAAGCCCCGTAGGCACCTGATTCCAGGTCACCTGGCCCCTGCCCTGGGTGTGGAGATAAACTCAGGGTCAGAAGGGAAAGGCCACCTCTGTCACACAGCTCAACTTTGTTTTGCTTTTCTACGTGTGACTAGTATCTGTACGGATTTACAAAACGAAAAAACAAAAGAGCTGGAGAGATGGCTCATTGGTTTAGAACACAGACTACTCTGGTAGAGGGCTGGTGTCTTAGCCAGGCTTTCTGTTGCTATGATAGAACACCGTGACCAAAAGCAACTTGGGAAGGAAGGCATTTATTCTTCTTATACTTCCGTATCTCTGCTCATTATCCAAGGGAGTCAAGGCAGGAACTCAAACAAGTCAAGAACCTGGAGGTAGGAACTGACATAGAGGCCATGGAGGGGTGTTGCTTACTGGCTCGCTTCTTGTGGCTTGTTGAGCTTGCTTTTTTACAGACCCCCAGCACCACTAGCTCAGGAGCATCTTCACCCACAGTGGGCTGGGCCTCCTCACATCAACCAATAATTAAGGAAAAAAAAATGTCCTACAGCATAGGGGTAGCCTAAGATTATTGGAAAACACAGATATTTACATTACAATTCATAACAGTAGCAAAATTACAGTTATAAAGTAGCAACAAAAATAATTTTATCGTTGGGGGTCACCACAACATGAGGAACTATATTAAAGGGTTGCAGCATTAGGAAGGGTGAGAATCACAGCTATAGGCTTGCCTGCCTACAGTCTGATCTTACGGAGGCGTTTTCTCAATTGAGGTTCCCTCCTCTTAGATGACTTTAGCTTATGTCAAGTTGACATAAAACTAGCCATCACAACCCGGCATGGTGGCACACGCCTTTAATCCCAGTACTTGGGAGGTAGAGGAAGGCATATCTCTGTGAGTTTGAGGCCAGCCTGGTCTACAAAGCAAGTTCAAGGGCAGCCTGTCTTGAGACACCAAAAGGAAAAAAAAAAACCAAAAAACAAAACAAAACTAGCCACCACAATTGAGTTACCAATTTCGAGTTGTTCATGTCCTGTAACTCCAGCTCCAAAGAATTCAACGCTTTCTTCTGGCCTCTGGGAACACTTACCCCCCTCCCCACAACAGCATACATCCACACATTCACATAAATTAAAAAAATCACTTTTTAAAGTTGACATCTGCTTCAGCTCTGTGGTGGTTCCCTCTGTACTCTAACAGCTTGCTCAATGTCAGCTCTGACAAGCAAAGCTTGCTACTGTAATATCAAAGCCTTCTCCCCACCACACACACACACACACACACACACACACACACACACACACACACAC